CAACCTACTTGCGATGGCCTCCAATCTAAAAGCGATGGCCTCCAACCAAATAGCGATGGCCTCTAAACTAATAGCGATGGCCTCCAACCACGCGATGGCCTGCCTCCAACCTAATAGGGATGGCCTCCAACCTAGTAGTGATGGCCTCCAACCTAATAGCGATGGCCTCCAACCTTTGGTAGTGATGGCCTCCAACCTAATAGCGATGGCCTCCAACCTAGTAATGTAGACCTGTGATTAATAAACCCCCCTAGAATAATGTTGTTTTTTCCTGCACTGATTAATAAAGGCCCCAAGAATAATGTTCTTTTTTGGCAGGGATAGTTGTAGTAGAATATGTGGTTTTGTTATAGTTTACTTTTTCCCTTTTGAGTTTGCTGGGATTTCAAGCTTAAAACATATTTTGCTTTAAGTACACTTGTGTTCATTCCCTTTATTTTCCTTTTGATTTGCTTTACTTACCTAAGCTCTTTAGTCTTTAAGCTTTCCAAAAGTTTCCAACAGTCAGTGCACACTTTCTTTACAAAATCCCTTATTCAAAAATATTGAAAAAATCATTCAAGCAAAGGGGGTAGTCCAGCAAGCAGCTTTCTGACATTATTTAGGGGGGGCCCTAGAATAATGTCTAGAGATTTCAAGCCTAAACAATAAAAAACATATTTTGCTTTAAGTAAATATTAATTCCCTTTCTTTTCCTTTTGATTTGCTTTACTTACCCAAGCTCTTGAAAAGTTGAAGATTTCCTTTGAGATTGGATGCTTTTGAAGGTCTTTGGATTGAGATTTCCATTAACATATTGAGAATTCAACTTCCACTTTATTGATTTCCTTTTACTTTAGTATTCCACATGTCTTCAATTTGAGATTTCATTGATTCCCTTTTATTTTTAATATTGCCAGAGAAGACCAAGAAGATTTTAATAAGGATTCTTTTCATTTTGGTCCTTTGATTAGTTTTCTTATACATTATATTGGAGGCCCTGGTTGTTGAGGGAGGGGGGGGGGGCCGGGGGGGGGTTGATTAATCAAGAGTCTACATTAGTGAGGCCTCCAACCTAGTAGCGATGGCCTCCAACCTTTGGTAGTGATGGCCTCCAACCTGATAGCGATGGCCTCCAACCTAGTAGTGATGGCCTCCAACCAAATAGCCATGGCCCCCAACCTAGTAGTGATGGCCTCCAACCCAGTAGTGATGGGCTCCAAACTAATAGTGATGGCTTCCAACCTAGTAATGATGGCCTCCAAACAAATAGCGATGGCCTCCAACCTAGTATAGTGATGGCCTCCAATCTAGTAGGTATGGCCTCCAACCTAGTATAGTGATGGCCTCCAACCCAATAGCTATGGCCTCCAGACTAATAGCGATTTCTTGCGAAAAGGGAACTGGTTCCTGCAGCAACTCTCTATTGGCCCTTCGGGTCAGTGGATCATCTTCAACATGTTCACGTTGCTGGATTGCTCCGGATCGATTCCTTTTCTGGATGACTCGAGCCTGTACACGCAAAAGACGTCTTTCAATCTGCAAGGCTGGGCGTTGCACGTCCAGCGCATTCAATTCATCTCCAGGCCGGCTTCGTGATAGCAAGGTTTGCATGTTTCATGCGATATGCCATATTCCAATAAGTCCTTTTCAAACAGCTCCTTGGCTTTGGCATACACCTGGCAGCGAAACGGCGAAACGGCTTTTTACCCATGCGGAAATTTGGGGCTTGCGGTCCAGACCAAAGTAGGGACCATCAGACTGGACCGCACAGACTATGGCCCTTTTCTGGTCTTTACTGGGGTGTGCCTTGGTACTGGCCATAACATACTCTCATCAATGAACAATATGTTATCGTGCATGTTATCGCCACATATATATATATTAATATATGATTCAATAGTTAAAACAAAAAACTAACACCATCCACACACACAAATCTAAAACACGCCACGCAACAGGTTTCAGCACCGCACCCATGGCCCACGTTTTTACATCGTCGGACGTCGTCGCGGCCTGACGATCGGGCTCATCAGTCCATCCCTTCAAAAGCGAAGTGTCGTACACTGAGCTTCCTTGAGAGCCCATGGTGGGCCGGGTGTTCTGAAAGTCGACTGACAAACAAGGCCCGCCGAACTTGGCATGGAACAAGCAGATGGAGAGTTCCTGGTGGCGAAGACGGAAGACAAAGGCGATGGTTATGCAAGACAAAAGGTGTAGCGAAAACCTGTTGTGGAAAGTTTTAATGAACATGACTAAATGCAAATCAATAAATGCATATTGCTATTATTGTAACCAGTAGAATACGAGATGATAGGAGTAGTACTGAGTCCTTAGTTCTTCGCCACTGTGATCCCAGTCACCTTTTTAGAGATCTACTTTTTACTCGAGTCCGAGTCACCTGTCGTACTGGAATACTCTATATCATCTATAGGTACTGAATCCTTGATTTCTTTTTGCAACAGTTGGTGGTCTTGGACCGCGATCTGCTGAGTTTCAACGTTGGAAAAAAACTAAACAAACCCGAGACGGAGCACGCGTCCGGCTCCGTCGTCCGGCGGACCGCGATGCTTCTCGGAATGGCAAACAGGACCGCGATCCGAACTGTTTGGGGTGCTTTCTGAGGGAATCATGTTCACCTATTTCACGCCAGAGAGGTGGGTGAACACCCCCCCCCGGGACTGAAGTGCGTGAAGTGCCCTACAACTCCAGGGACGCCGGGTGGGTCAACCGAACAAGTGTCGACAACCGGAACGGGGATGGATCGCGGTGATCGGAGCGCTCCATCCCGATTGGTGTTCGATCAGTTTCACGGCCGCAAGCACGGAGTTTTTCTGAAGTTCAACTGTGCGGCCGTGTTTTTGTCTACGGCCGATACACTTCATGAACGACCCAATGTGGGTCGGTGATGTTTGACCGACCCAATGCATGGACGTAGGGCAGCTACTCCGAGAAAACGAAAAAATCAAGGAAACACATCAACCCGCATAACAGGTATGAGGGCATGGATGCTTTGGGTTGCTTTGGATTCTTTTGTGCTGGAACTCGAGAGTGCGGGTTCTTTCAACAAGAAGGTCAACT